GGGGGCAGCGCAGGACACACTTGTCTCTCGGGCACCCCACTCATGCTTTCTCTTTGGTTTACACTTCCTGGGGGCTTTCTAAATGACTTTGTTCACGCTGTCTCTGGTCTTCATTGGCTGGGATGTGAGGGTATGTGCAATTAGAAGGCAGGGAGGACAGGCCCCTGGAGAGCAGCCCCCAATAATCCACTTGGACGCGAGGGTCACCAGCACCCCGACTTGTCTTCTCCCTCGGCCATTGCTTCTCTTCCCTGCTTCTCTTTAAAAACTAAAAAGGAAAAGAAAAATGAAAAGAAAAAAAGAAAAGAAGGCAATTCTCTGCACGCCTGTTCCGGGAAGCTGTTACTCCTTCTCTCTCAGGCTCCTTCCCCTATCTCTTGCCTCGGTCTCGCGCGTTCCCTTGGACTTGGCTGTCTGCTTCCCTCCCTTTCTCTCTCTCCTGCTCGCTCTCTCCCTTCCCCTCACTCCCTCTCTCTCACACACACACACATGCACACACACTGCTTTCTCTATTTCTCTCCGCTGAAATATTATACCTCCCTCCCATGACGTCTCGGGCCTGGGGTGGGGGAGGGAGGGACCAGCGCACGCAGCCTCTTTTGCTGCCCGATTTTAATGTTTTAAACAGGCACAGAAAGAGCCGAGCCCATCTGAAAAATACTTTGCGAGCCCTCGCGTTCGAGGTGGTAACTGAACTTTTTTTCCCCTCTTGGAGTCACTCCTGCTACACGTTGACTGTTTTTCTGGAAAGTTACTCCGATGAATCCCCTCCCTCTTGCTCCCCAGACTCCTGCGCCTTCTCGCCAGCTGTCAGTCCGTCCTCCCCTCCCTGCCCCCCGGGCCCGGGCCGCCCCGGTGCCAGGCCGGACACTGGGCTGGGCCAGGAGGGAGAGCGAAGCTTGGCAGGGGCGGCCGTGCCCACCCTCGGGCGGGGTGACGCTTGGCCTGGGAGCGGGGTGGGATCCAGCTCCGCGGCCATCCTGGCTCGGATCTTCATTGACAAGATTGGAGCCGGGCGCCTGGCTGAAGCTTGGAGACGCTCCAGGGGCAGTGAAAAAATGGTGGCGTTTGCCGGAAGATCGAGGGTGCCCTCTGGCGAGGCGAGGCCGCCAGTGAAGGCGGCTCCGCGGTCCGGAGCCAGGAAGGCGGGGAGGGTGGGCGCGGGGAAGGGGCTGGGAGCGAGGGAGAGAAAAACAAGGCCCGCAGGCCTTGGGGAATTGGCCTCCCTCTCCGCCAGACGTGCGTACAAGTGCACCTCTCCCTTCCCGGATCCGTGGCTCTCGGCAGAAATGTCATCCAGATGTTCACAGCCGCCCTCCCCACCGAAGGTTCCGCAGGGAGCTGCGCCAGCAACGCAAAGTCAGCAATTGGCCCGTGCCCATTTCCCAGATGGGTGAGGGGAAGCTTTTTCTCCTCATTCGTTCTTCTTCTCCTCAGCCGAAGCTTCTAGGCCTTTTCCCATGAGAAGATTAGGGAAGGCCAGGCACTTTGCTTTTTCCCCAAAACACGTCGTCACGTTCCTGCGATGCAGTGCTGTTCCTCGCCCCCCAGCACCACCTACCACACTTCACCTCACTCTAGTTCCTGAGAGGTCTGGCTCCTGCTTCTGGGTCCCAGGTCAACATTAATTGAAGGGACACTCACTACATCCGGCTAAGTGGTGATCATTTTACAGTTGAGGAAGCTGAGGCACAGCGAGGTTAGAAGGCCACGCTGCTTGTGAGTGGTAAAGGTGATATGCAACACAGTGTCCAGTCCCTTTAGGGTAGGCATTATTTTCATTTACAATACAGATGAGGAAACCGAGGCATACAAAGTTTGAAAGTAACTTGTCTAAACCCCAACACCCCCTATCAACAGTCCATTCCTGCTCATGTTGTTGTTGTTATGTGTAGGCGAGTCCGACCGACCCATAGCGACCCCTCCTTGGGTTTCCGAGGCAGTATCACTACAGAAGTAGATTGCCCAACCTTCCTTCCAAGGAGTGGCTGGTGGGTTTGAACCGCCAGCCTTCTGGGTAGCAGTCAAGTGTCTTAGGCACTGCGCTACCAGAGCTCCTTCTTTTCCACTCATAGTGACCCTTTTCTTTTGACAGAGTAGAACTGCCCCATAGGAACTCTGGTGGTGTAGTGGTTAAGGCATTTGTGTTGCTAACCAAAAGGTCCGTGGTTTGAACCCACCAGCCACTCCATGGAAGAAAGAAGAGGCAGTCTGTTTCCATAAAGATTTACAGCCTTGGAAACCCAATGAGGGTCTCCATGAGTTGAATTCAACTCAATGGCAGTAAGTTTGGTTTTGGTCTTTGTAGAACTGCCCCACAGTTTCCAAAGCTATAAATCTTAACATCTTTCTCCCATTGAGTGGCGGTGGGTTCAAACCACCGACCTTTTGGTTCCTAGCCAAATGCTTGGATCTAAAGTGTGTATTGCCAAATTCTGTGCACTTACCACTATGTTATACTTCCTCTGGAATTCTGCCATCATTCAAGAAATATTTTTGATGATTTCTATGTGCCCCCCTTTGTTCTAGGCTCTGAAGATACCGCAATGAATAAAACAAACAAAAAAAACTCTGCCTTCATAGATCTTACAGTCTGGAAGCAGGCATAGGGTGGTGGGGGGAGAGGCAATACCAAAAATCGAATCCACTACCATTGAGTCTATTCCGAGTAATAGCCATTCTCATATAGGACAGAGTAGAACTGCCGCATGGGGTTTACAAGGCTGTAAATCTTTACATTTTTCTCCTGTGGAGCAGCTGATGGGTTTAAACTGCAGAACTTTTGCTTAGCAGCTGAGTATTTTAACCATTATGCAACTGGGTCTCCTAATCATAGAATAATATGTGATAAAAATAGTTATAAATTGCTTAAGTATGATTTTTCTTAGATTATAGAAATACTAACAACAAGATTGTTTTATAAAATCTTTCTATACTGAACACATTACTAGTTGAAATGTTACTAGTAACTGAGCGGAAGCCTTTTTTGATTCTTCTCCTCCTTTAATTACTACATTCTCAGTAAAGTTACTGATAGAGGTTCACAAATACTACTTCCCACAATATTGTAACTGAAACACCAGAAAATTTGACAAAATCAGCAACTATCAAAACACAAGCAGCAACGAAAACAACAGCGCATGCTTTTAGAGCTTGCAGATGAAACCATGTGAATCGAAGCATCATTGTAATTGGGTAATGATGACAGCTCTGATTGGAGCACGTTAGAAGGTTCAAAAAGTAAATTAGCATAGAGGTTTATCCTTGCAGGTACATTGATACGTGTAAATTAGATTTATGAAAAATGTTTTTCTTGTTATAACTAACTACAAGGATATCTTTATAAAAAAATAATAAATCTCTGTTGAAACACTGCACAAAAACTTTATAGACAGTCATTTTGGTGTCAACCTCTCTAACAGTGTTACCTGGTGTAGTCTACACCCCCCTTCAATTTCCCGTTACCCTCCAGCCCCCAACTGGTGATGACAGTGCTGGAGGAGGCAATACACTAAATAAATATGTAAATTACATTGTATGATAAAAGATGATAAGTGCCACAGAGAAAACTAAAGCAAGGACGGGGGTGGGGTGGGGTGGGGGTGGGGTGGGGATTAGGAGTACCTAGTTTGAAGGATATTGAAATTCAGAATAAGGTGCTCAGGGACGACCTCACTGAGGAGACCTTTGAGCAAACACTTGCAAGATGGGAGGGACAATTATTATCCTTCTGGACCCCATCTCTACCACATCAGAGTCTCCAGGGATGGGACCCTGACATATGTATTTTTCACATGATTCAGATGTTCAGCAATGTTTGGAAGCCTCTATGCTAGGCCTTCTCTATGCCCAGGGTGAGCACGATTCACCTTCTGCTTTCAGGAAGTTGGGGAAGGAGTGGAAGTGAAGGTCTGGCAACTGGTTGTAAGTATGGCCGTGAGCTTAAAAGAGATGGAAAATCCAAAGATCAATCAATTCCTTCTTCATCTGGTGTCCATGAAGAAGGCAACAAGGTACTCGATGGCATCTAAAGTTCATCCATCTTAGATTTTTGTCAATGCACGTTTCTTCAGAGTAAAATCTAACAGTATTCTCACTGAGAATCAGAGTCAGTGGAGTGAAAGTCTTAGAGGTAATCTCTAAGGGTAATTACAAAGGCAGAAACTGAAGTCCAGAGAGGGCCCTTCCCTGGTTACACAGGTAGTTAGTATCAGAGGTAGGGTAAGAACTCAACTCTGCTGACATCCAGGCCAATACTTTTGCTATCACAAGGCAGTCATACCCAATACATATGTATGGAAAGAATGGTTGAATCGAGTAATTTACTGGATATTTAAAAAATGCTTGCAAGGCAGTCTCAGGGCTGCTACCTCCATCTCCAAGTTCTCACTTTTGACCCATGAATGACCTAACACCCAGGACGACACTTGGGGACATTGCTCACTTTCAGGGCTCTGAGTTCATCTTGTGTAGGTTCCATCTGACAAGTGCCAGGAACCTGGCCAATGGTGTTGACTTGAAGATCTTACTTGGAGAATCTACGAAGACTCAAGAAGACTAGTATCCTCACCTGTCCCACTGAGCTGGAAGTTTGAGGACATCTCCCTCTGCTGGCCTAGGAGAAAGGCCGACACCCAGGAGTTTGTGCTAGAGAAGAATACCCTAGGAAGATCTGGCCTCATAAAGGCACCTGGCTCGCCGCTTAGCACACAGGTTATTTCTCACAAGCCCTTTACCCTCTTTACACTTCAGTGTCCTTGATTTTTGAGTAGAGATATTAGTGCTACTTACATTATGGGGTTGTTGGAAGGATTAAATAAGATATAAAATCTTTGTGCTTTTGAAAGTTCTTACTGCTCTTGATGTATTGGTTTAGTTTCTCTGTAAACTTCTTGAAGGCAGCGATTGTGTATATTGTATTTTAATCATTCATTGTTGTTGTTATGTGCCGTGGAGTCGTCCCCGACTCATAGCGACCCCTCCTTGGGTTGCCGAGGCAGTATCACTACGGAAGTAGATTGCCCAACCTTCCTTCCGAGGAGAGGCTGGTGGGTTTGAACCACCAGCCTTCTGGTTAGCAGTCAAGTGCCTTAGGCACTATGCTACCAGAGCTCCTATTATAAACCATTTATTAGCTGTGGCACCTTGAGTGAGGAACTCTGGTGGCGCAGTGGATAAGACATTTGGCTGCTAACCAGAAGATCCGCAGTTCAAACTCATCAGCTGCTCTGTGTCAGGAAGATGAGGCAATCTACTTCTGCAAAGATTTACAGCCTTGGAAGCCCCATGGGGGTTGCTATGAGTCAGAATCCACGTGATGGCAGTGGGTTTGGTTTGGCACCTTGGCTAAATCTCTCTCTGTGAACCTTGTTTTCTCATCTGTCCAATGGAGATATTAGAACCTATCTTGCTTCCCACACAAGGTTGTTATGCCCCTTATGTGAGCTAATAACTGAAAACCCTCTGTATTTTGCAAAACTCACTGCCATCTAGTCGATTCCAATTCACAGTGACCCCCATTGGGTTTCCAAGGCTGATAAATCTTTTCCAAGGCAGACTGTCCCATCTTTCTTTCACAGAATGGCGGTGGCTTTGAACCATGAACCTTTTGGTTAGCAGTCAAATGCCTTAACCACTACACCACCAGAGCTCCTTAACCCAAAACAAAACTCACTGTCATGAAGTTGGATCTTACTCATAGAGACCCCTACTTGAGTTTCCCAGGAGGCATCTCTATGGAAGTAGATTTCCCAGTCTTCCATCCATCCGGAGTGGCTGGTGGGTTTGAACCACCAGCCTTCCAGTTAGCAGTCAATACCTTAGGCACTAGGAGCTCTGGTATCATAGTGCCTAAGGCACTTGACTGCTCACCAGAAGGCTGGCGGTTCAAACCCAACAGCCACTCCTCAGAAGGAAGGTTGGGCAATCCTACTTCCGTAGTGATACTGCCTCGGCAACCCAAGGAGGGGTCGCTATGAGTCGGGCCGACTGGACGGCAAACAACCACCACCACCACCACCTTAGGCACTATGCTACCAGAGCTCCCCCAGAGCTCCTTAGTACCTCGCAAAGAACTATACAAATGGGAGGGGTCAGTACAATTACTATGACTGATTTGTTGTTGTTGTTATGTGCCCTCGAGTCAGACCCAACTCATAGCGATCCCTCCTTGGGTTTCCGAGGCAGTATCACTACGGAAGTAGATTGCCCCATCTTTCTTCCCAGTAGTGGCTGGTGGGTTTGAACTTCCAGCCTTCTGGGTAGCAGTCAAGTGCCTTAGGTACTACGCTACCAGATCTCCTTATAACTGATTAGTAGTATTGAGCTGCACTTAATAACTGATGTATTTAAACTGAGCTACAAATGCAGAGTTTCTAAAACCTGATATTTTTCACAGCCTTAGCGAACTTTAGTATCTGGAGGGTTCTTATAGAAGCCAATAAGGCAGGATTAGGGAGGGCGTGTGGCACACACAGACCAGTAATAATGCGGCGGCCCCTTTAAATTTTGGGATGTAGGGGCGGAGCCCTCCTTAGCGAAACCGTTGGAGTGCTTTGTTTCCCGGTAGTGACGTTGGAAGGCCGCAGTGATGGAGGACGTGCTGGACCTGGGCGAGGAGCGACGTCGCGGCTCGGCCACCTCCGTGAGGACCGACGTGCAGGGCTTGGGGCCCAGATTTGGCGGGTGGGGAGGAGCCACCTCGCCTCGGCTTCCCCGAGGCGCCTTGCCCCGGCCTTCCCCAGACGGCCGAAGCGGGCGGGCCTGGGCTAAACCAGGCCTAGACCGCGGAGGAGGCGGTCCCTCCGCCCCGCCTCCCGCGCTGCGGGGGGCTCCGCCATTGCTGGCGGGGGCTTTGCTTTCTTTAAAATCCTTAAAAAATAGCAAGTTAGTCCTCCCTTCGCCGTCTTTGGGACCGGTGGAGCATTTCCCAGCCTCTCTTCTCTTTCTGGAGCATCAGGACGGATCTGAGAGAGGGGCCCTGGCCATTGTCGGACTCGCACTCATCCCAGGGCTTATCCCGTGGGCCTAGTCGTTCTAGAAATTCACATCAAAACCTCACTGTGTAATGCGCGGAAGAAAGGCAGGCAGGGCCGGTCTTTTCACCCATAATTCCCCCGGGGAGATGGATGGACTTTATATCCGTTTTGTGGTTAAAGACATCGAGAGTTGGAATTTTTAAAGGGGAGGAGTGGTTAGGCATTTTGGCCTGGAGATCAGAAGGAGCAGAAAACTGTTGGGTGGGCTAAAAACCGTTAATCTCTGTTTGAGCCTCAGTTTCCTGCTCTCCGGAACGCGGAGGTTGCTAAGATACTTGGGCACTTGGAGTTCAGATGAACTGAGATAATGCAAGGGAAGCATTTAGCAGTGCGTGGTGCATGCTGAATTCTCGGAAAAGCTTAGCTGCCATTGCTCCCGAGCCTGATTTACTCAAGGTTATAGTCACTGACGGAGCTAGATTCAAGAAAGGAGTCCTGGTGGCGCAGTGTTTACGCACTCGTCTGCCAACAATTTCGGCAGGTTCAGCCGAAGCGGGAGGAAAGCCTGCTCGGTTTACAGCCGTGGTAATTTTGTGGGGGAAGTTCTCTGTCGAACAGGGTCGCTATGAGTCGGAGCCCACTCGCTGGCTTCAAGTTGCTTTCTAGTTTAGTTTCAGGACTCGAGTTCAGTGCCTTTCCTCCTCAAATACAGCCCCCATCAAACCTTTAGTCAAGATCGTATTTGTTAGAAGGTTGGATCACGTGGAAGATCTAAAGTGTCTGCTTTGAAATCTGTTTTGAAATGCTCTGATGGCATTGGATGTCTTCCAGGGTGCTGGGAAGGCACAGCTCGCTGAGAGAGCTGTGAGGGACAGAGCTGTGAGGGACGGGAGCAAATTGCCTGGGAAGCAGGTTGCTTGACTGACCAAGAGGAAGTTTCGGTCCCCAGGCCTTTCTGCTGTGGGACCTTTTGTAGAACACATTTATGTAGTAAATGTGGTGTTTGTTTACTCATTCTTTCAACAAATATTTACTGAGCCCCTACTGGCTATCAAACATCTTAGATGTTAGGAATATAGCAGTGAATAAAACAAAGTCCCTGCCCTTTAGAGGGCTTAAACAGACTATATTTAAAATATATAAAATCAGGCAGTAAAGTAGTTTTCTATGTTAAACCTGTGGATTTATATAGGGTCTTCAGAAAGTTTAAAACCTCAAAACACTTAACAGGTAGTAGAGAAACCATCTGCAAACAGCACTTAGAGGCCTGATCATTGGATTTTTGTTTTTGCATGCCATCTTCAGGTACTGGATGCTATGGTAGATGAAGGGCAACCATGGGTGAAGGGGTGGAATTGTCTGCCTTGAGAAGAAAACAGAGCCACTTACTATCAGAAAGATTAGATTGCTTCCCTTGTTCCTGAAACCTAAATGGTTGAAGTGAGAATTTGTAGTGTAAACATTACATAAGGGTTTTTATGCAGCTCCTGTGTCACCTCTCTCCTGTAGTGGTATAGTCAGTTGTTAAAACTGTGAAATTGAAATTACATCGTGGTATAGTGGAAAGAACCCAGGATTTGAAGTCCAAAGAAGACTTTGCTCTTAGATTTCTCTCTCATTTAATCATCTTCCTCAGTTTTCTCATTTGTAAGATCATGTCAGTCCTAGTCCCAGCTATCATGAGGGTCAAGTGAAGCCACACCAGATGAGATCTAAAAACCATTAACGCTGGCTTTAAAAGCAAACAAACAAAAATACAAATATATTTTAACACCCATTGGTCTGCCCAAATAAACTTGGGTTGGGAAGCATCTGAGACACTCCAACCCAGAAAGGCTTTGGGAAACACTTGCAAGTTTATTTGATGAAGCAGAACTTGAAGTGCTCTGATTTCCAAAGCTGATAGCTCAAAATTCTTGCAGTAGATTTCCTTTACTGTCTGTAAATGCAGATGTAATTAGTGAACAAAGCAACTGCTGTCTGTATTTCTCTGGTTTGTTACCGTGTTGTGTAAGGTGCTGTTGAGTTGATTCTGACTCAGTGGTGACCCTTTGGACAACAGAACACAGCCCAGTCCTGCACCATCCTCACAATTGCCTTTATGTTTGAACCCATTTTTGCAGCCACTGTGTCAATCTGTCTCATTGAGGGTCTTCTTTGCTGACCCTCTACCTGCTGAGTTTGAAGTCCTCCAGGGACTGGTCTTGCCTGACAACATGTCCAAAGTATGAGATGAAGTCTTGCCATCCTGGCCTCCAAGGAGCATTCTGGCTGCACTTCTTCCAAGACAGATGTGTTTGTTCTGGCAGTCCATATTCAATATTCTTTGCCAACACCGTAACTCAAATGCATCATTTTTTTGGTCTTCATTGTTCATTGTCCAGCTTTCACCTGCATATGAGACAATTGCAGATGTCATGGCTCTGGTCCGGTGTATCTTACCTTGGTCCTCAAGGTGACATCTTTGCTTTTCAACACTTTAAAGAGATCTTTTGCAGGAGATGTGCCCATTGTCTGATTTCTTGACTGCTGCTTCCATAGATGTTGATTGTAGATCCAAATAAAATTAGATCCTTGACAACTTCAGTATTTTTTCCATTTATCATGATGTTGCTTATTGGTCCAATTGTTGCCATAGAATTTAGGAATCTTTTCCATATGCCTTTTTGATAATTGTTATGCAAAGCTGCAGCTTTGAAATTAGGTTTTCATAAAATCCTGTCCACTAGTTGCATATAGTTGATTCTGACCGGTGCACATTGTTAATGCACCCTGCTGCCAAACAACAGGTTGGAGGTTTGAGTCCATCCATCCAGAGGTACCTCAGAAGAAAGGCCTGAAAACCCTTGGAGCACAATTCTACTCTTAAAACACATGGGGTCACTATGAGTTGGAGTTGACTTAATGGCATATAAACTAACAAAAATGAAACCCAAAGCTATCAAGTTGATTATAGCAACCTGTGGTAGTTATGTTTCTGTCACCTTGGCTGGGCCTGGTTGAGTGGCTGGGCAGCTGGTGGTAGTTATTCCCCATGATGAGACTGGCAATCAACTCTATGGTGAGATCTACCAGAAGCAGCTGAGTAGCTGCCTTTGGGTATGTGGTCTGCTTCCCATATATAAGCAGCAGCTTTGGGAATGGTCTCTAGCCTATGGCATGCTTGGACCTGCATGTAGCTGTGTCATTGCTCAGCAGCTTGCCATGCTCTGCCGACCTTGGGACTTAAAAATGGACTTAAGTTAATGGCCTGCCGTGTGGTTTGGTAACATCGGGACTGTGCCTTTTTACTTGTCAACCTTGGGGCTTCTCAGCCTCAGCAGCCAGCAGCTGTCTGAATGAAGAAATGCCTCTAGCTTCAGAGGGCCGGGAGCAGAAGGCAGAGTTGGACCCCAAGGTTGAGGGGCTTTCACCCAGCCCCTAGAGCCTGGCACTTTGAACTTGGACTTAAAGCCTCCAAATTATAAGAATAAACTCCTGTTTGTTAAGGCCATCCCATTTGTGGTATATTCTTGTCAGAACGACACTCGGTAACCAGAACACATCCCTATAGGACAGTGGAACTGCCCCACAGGGTTTCCAAGGTTGTAAATCTTTATGGAAGCAGACTGCCTCATCTTCCTCCTGTGGATTGGATGGTGGTTTCAAACCACTCACCTTTTGGTTAGAGGCCAGATGCCTTAACCACTGTGCCACCAGGGCTCAGTGACAACTCACTAAAACTAACTCACTGCCATCGAGTTGCATTTGACTCATAGTGACCCCCTCCTTGGGTTTCCAAGGCGGTATCACTATGGAAGTAGATTGCCAAACCTTCCTTCCGAGGAGTGGCTGGTGGGTTTGAACCACCAGCCTTCTGGTTAGCAGTCAAATGCCTTAGGCAATATGCTACCAGAGCTCCCCAATGACAACTAGTACTGATAAAATCCTATATATGAATGTGGGAGCCTTTGCTAAACCCTCACCTGAGCTGTGGCATGATGTCTCTGCCTATTCTAGAGAAGCTGTATTTCTGTGGGTAGAAAAGTGATTTTACTTAGTAGTTCATGTGGTAGACAGGGTGTCATTGGCTAAGTTTTGGAAGCAGATTGCCAGGTCTTTCTTCCTAGTCTGTTTTAGGCTGGAAGCTTTACAGAAACCTGTCCGCCATGGATGACCTTGGTATTTGAAATACCAGATGCATAGCTTCCAGCATCATTGCAACATGTAAGCCACCACAGTATGACAGTCACAGGTGGTGTCTGGAATGCTCCTTGGAAGCAAGAATAATGAAACTTCATCTTGTTTACTTTGGACATGTCATCAGTAAAGACCGATCCCTAGAAAGTGGTATCATGTTTGATAAAGTAGAGGGTCAGTAAGAAAGAGGGAAACCCTATTGAGATGGATTAACACAGTATCTACAACAAAGGGCTCAAGTGTATCAAAGATGATAAAGCTGGTGTAGGAGTGAGCAGTGTTTTGTTCTGTTACAGATAAGGTTAGAACTGACTTCAGGTACTTTGAGGATTTGGAGTGTTTTCTAAGAATGTATGAAAGTTACTCAAATCCTGTCCTCCATCATGTTATCATAAATCTAGTCCTTGCTGAATTCTCATTTTAGTCTCTCAAGTCCTGTTTGGGTCAGCAGTGTCCTTCCCTCTCTCCTTACAGGGAGCCAAGATGGGTCGCCGAGCTCAACCAGAGTCATCTCCGACTGAGAGTCAGCCCAGTGGCAAGAATTCCTCTTTGACTCCGACTGGAGAGGTGGGTGCTAAAAAAAGGTCTAAAGAAATGCTCTTTAAGAGTTGGTGATTACTCATGGGAGAAAGAAGGGCTGTTTATGCACAGGGAGACAGTTCAGGGGGCAGGAGTGCATGGAGGGATGGACACAGGGAAGAGGTTAACTATTGGGAGGAAGTGGGAGGGGAGCTGTTGCATTGTGGTAAACTCTAGTCAATGTCATGAGACGTGTGTGTGTGTGAACTGCTGTATGGAAAGTGAATTTGCTCTGTAAACTTTCACCCAAATCACAATGGAAAAAAAAAAGTTAGTGATTATTTAATAAGCAAGAATTTGGTATTCCTTATTTCTTTTTAATGCCAACCCCTTCTCCGGTCTTGATGTGGGAATTCCCTTCCTTGGCATTTATCCTATTAGCAGAAAACGAAAGAGGCATGCTAAGGTTCAGTTACACGGTTGGACATTTGCTCTCAGTGTTGACCTGCATGCACTTCCTGTATTTTTCAGGCAGGAAGGGGACCAGTACTGACCTTCCTTACCTGGAAGCTTTTCCTAGTGGCCTAGAATTATGAGAATCTGCCCAGCTTGTTTTTGGAGGGTGGGTCGTCCTGATGAGCAGTACTTTTTGTGGCAGGACACTGCCCCATTTCTATCCAGAGGGAGATAGTTGTGGCTGTTGACTCAGAGCCCCTTTTCCTCTTCCTCTTGTCCTTTTTTTTTTTTTTTTTTTACCTTTTTTGAGGAGGGATAGATGCCTTTTTCAAGATTTAGCCTCGGGGTCATCCTCTTTATCAGCTCTTCTCTAACTTCCAGGCAGACGTAGAGCTCCTTCCTCTCAGTTCCTATAGTACCTAGTGTATGCTGATTGTCTATATGTCTGCCACTGTAGACAGTGAGTTGTCAGGCACCAAGAAACCTGGCTTGTCTAGCTTATTGGCCCATAGAAGGTTTACAACAGACGAGGGGATCCAGTCTGAGAAATTTAAAGGGCCAGGGAGGTAAAATAAATGAATGAAGGGTCCCTCCTTGGGTTTCCAGGCGGTATCTCTGCGGGAGTAGATTGCCCAGTCTTCCTTCTGAGGAGTGGCTGGTGGGTTTGAACCGCCAGCCTTCTGGTTAGCAGTCAAATGCTTTAGGCACTATGCCACCAGAGCTCCCAAGTAAAGGGCACATGAGCAAAATATGCTAGGTACAAGACACAGACACACTTATGTGTCATATGTGGGAATTTCCACTTTTAGAGGAATTCAGTTCTCTGTTTTCTTGTCTATGTGGTCCTCCATTCATTGTTCGTTTTCTCACTTAGTATAACAGTAGAGATGTGGAGAATCATGTTTTACTCTAACATCCATACCCGTTCAGAGAAACTAAGTGCTTACCTTTAGCCTCACTACCTGGCAGATAGCAGGGATGGGGTGGCATAATACGAAAATGGAGCACATGCTCCCCCTCCGAAGGGGCCAAATGTTACTTAGCCACAGCTGATGGATGCTGTGGGGAACACAAGCCCACTTTTGCTAGAACTTGTGATTACTCAAGAGATATTGGCAGTCTAGCATTTTACATGAAAGCCGCAAGTTTTTGGAGATTAGCAACTTAATTATAAAAGTCAAAACCCTACTTAGGTTAGAACTGGCCTGTTGGTTGTCAGTTTGTGACTTTGGTCATGGTACCTCCATTATAATACTTATTATATTGTATTGTAATTATAGTCAAGTGCTACATAATGTCCATTAGGGCAATGACTGACTGCATATATGTCCTTGGTCCTATAAGGTTACAGTAGAGCTCAGAAATCCCAATGAGAGAACAGGAGTAGTGGCTATGACCAGATGTAGTGCATGCAACAGCTTCCCACACACAACGTGTGTTTCTCATGTCTTTTGTATACAAAGTTATGCTGCCAGGTATATAATGGTACAGTACATATATAACCTGTAATATATATGTCTTGATAGTCATAATAAATGCCTATGTTACTGGTTTATGTATACATTGTACTTTCTATTACTTATTTACAAATAAAAGGTTTATCATGTAACAGTATATGCTTCAACTCATAGGCAGCAGCATCCAATCTTGTGTATCACACATTTCTTGAATGTTGTAGCATGACTTCTGTTTAATTTTCTTTTGAAAATAGTACTGTCAAGTGCATCATGGCTTCCAACACAGCAAAACCAGTGCTAATTATAATAGCAGCAAGAGGCAAAGGAGAAGTATCAGTTTGGTTAAAAGGTTGTTAAACAACTTGAAGGTAGAAAATCAGTGAATGTTACTGCTCACGATTTAAGCATGTTCCCACAAGGTCCAAACCATGTAACATCCTATTTTGTAGAAAGTACTGTGGATGGGAGCTCTGGTAGCATAGTGCTTAAGGCACTTGACTGCTAACCAGAAGGCTGGCAGTTTAAACCCACCAGCCACTCCTCGGAAGGAAGATGGGGCGATCTACTTCCGAAGTGATACTGCCTCGGAAACCCAAGGAGGGGTCGCTATGAGTCGGGTCCGACTCAACGGCACATAACAACAACAACAACAACAACACTGTGGATGTTAAGTGACATATGACTATATATGTTTGGTAAAATGTGAGCTGGAAGGCAGAGCTTGTGTATAATCATTGTACTACTCCCTTGTCTCTCGGAAGGAAGATGGGACAGTCTACTTCCGTAGTGATACTGCCTCAGAAACCCAAGGAGGGGTCGCTATGAGTTGGGTCCGATTCGATGGCATATAAAAACAACAACAACTCCCTTGTCTGTCACAGTGCCTGGCACATAACTGACTAGATTATGAGATAGATGAAGTACCTAGTGTGTAATGAGTGCTCTTAGAAGCTGAGTCGGAGCTCCAGGGTCAGGGGTGGTCAGGTAGTAGAGCATTAGGGGCATCATTGTCGGAGGTGGTGGCATAATGTAGAAAGATGATGAAAGAAGCTGTACCAGACCCATCCCTGGCTCACAGGGAGCTTGAACTGCAGTCATGTATGTCTTTAAGGAGAAAATGGAGAGGCAGATGACTGGGTTAATGGAAGCCTACGCTTAGCCTCTGGCCACTTTAGACTGTTCGAGACGGGTATAGGACGATCTGTCCCAACACAGATCATTCATTCATTTATTCAACAAATGTTTATTGAAGTTTATTGTGTCAGGCACCATTTTAGGTACTTGGCATATTTCAGTGAACAAAGGAGACAAGATCCCCTACCATAATGAAACTTCCATTCTAGTGAACATTGGCAAGGAAGACAGTCTATTATTGTGAAGAGGGTTATAGCCAACAGTTAGGTGAGTGGACCTCTAGTGGACCAAGATGTCCTGGAGTGCCCTGATCAGGCCTTGGAACTGTATAGCATGAGCCCCATGCTGTGTCAGCTCCTAGGGTGGGCTCATAGGCATGCTCACCTCCCTTCCCCTCTGTGGTTCCTGAGCGAGGGCTGGTAGCACAGACATGTAACGTGAAAGTCACAGCGTGTAATGAACCTTTCAGGATTTCATTCCTTCAGGAATGCCTTCTCATTTTTCCCAGAGACATTTACGTTTTTTTTTTTTTTCCAGGTATTAGCATTTTTCTGGAAGAACATGATGAAAGTCATTCTGATGAAAGTCATTGTGTTCCTTACTCAGCTGGGTCCTCTGAAAGCAGAATGGCATTCAGGATTTCAGGATTCCAGGATCCTTCTCTTCCTGGGTTAATTGAGGTTTAAAGTAGTGTGGGCAGCCTCCCACGGGACCAGATGCTTACTGTGCTGTGTGGGACTTTTTGGCTGTTTCTTTCTAAAATTAGATCCCAAGACTTGTGTGTGTGCCCATTTACATTCCAATTCTGAGTGTATTACTTAATGTATTTATTTTTACTCTCTTGCTGACTATCTTCTAGAATGAAGATATCCATGAAGAGGTGGATGTGGTACCTGGGGGCTGTTAGGCATACCAGAGTTACTTTAAAGTTAAATAGGAATTAGTTTAAACGGACGGTTATTTTAAAGCTGGTAGTAGAGTTGGGCGCACTGGTGAAGGAAGCAGAGAAGCATCTGCAGGAAGAGAGGGGACACAGGACTTGACAGGAGAGGACTGGGGCTTGAGACTAGGCTCTAGTAAGTACCTGTTATTTTACTGCTCTCTAATCTGCTCTTTCAGTATCTGTAAAATGATGACAATAACACCAGGTTGATGTGGAGATTAAATTAAATACACATTTAAAAGTATATTAATAAACTATAAAATAGTGTATAACATTCATTTAGTAGATCAGTGAGTGAATGTGTGTTTGGACAGGGCTTTACTGTTTTTATGAAAGAGTAGCAAAGAAAGAGGAGGTAAGCCTGGGTTTGTCTGAGAACTGATTTGGAAGTCTTAAAAGGCTCATTTATCTGTAGGTTGACTAGTAATCCAGGGAAGAGTGTGTGGGTTTCCAGTTTTGTTGGTTATTCTTTATGAGCACAAGCCTTGGAGTCATGCAGACCTGGGTTGAAATCCTGACTCTGCCACACATTAGCTCTGTGACTGTGAGCAAGTTACTTAACCTCTAAGTCTCAGTTTTCTCATTTGTAAGGCAGAGATCAAAATACAACCTAATTCATAGAATGACTAGAAAGGAAAAATGAGATAGGAAAGCCCTTAACACAGTATCTGATTTATAAGTACTCAATATGTTGCCAACCATTATTATTTCTCTAGAAGTTGAGTGTCATTTTTATTCTCTTTATATTTCTGTACTAAGGTGGAAGGGCACAGTGCCTATAATTCAGTACTAAGGCATAGTGGCTGGACTGGCATTCCTGCGTGGTGGCAGTTGGCTAGAACTAGTAAGGCGCTCCCTTATCTGAGGCCTGCCCTCTCCATTTCACTTCTTACTTGAATACACCTGATCCGATTTACTCACCTGTGTGATCTGCCTGGCTCCTGTTTCCACTTCGTGCTGCTTCAGGGTGGATTGATTTTCAGTATCTTTCTGTATCTGTTAGAGTGAATTTGGCTACAAGCAGCAGAAACTCAACTCTGGTGCTTTAATCAAACAGG